GGTGAATGATGTCATTCATAAAGAGATCTAAAGCTACAGAAATTGTCACTAAAGATTCTGAGAATGTAAACACAATAAAATAAGAAAGAGAAAGCTTAGTCAAATATTTAACGCATGTGTGTGTGAATGTGATAACGAGTTTTTGTATTATCTAGAATTTTGTTTTCAGCTATCAAGAGTATGTAACTGATATAAAGAGATGTTGAATATGTGGAATGTATGTTGTATCGTCAGTGGTAAATGTGAGAATGTTGTTTGAACAAAGAAAGGATACTCTATATAAAGCACATATATGTACATTGCCTGAAAATCAAAAGTGAGTTAATTCTGTATGTATTCTTGGGTTTAAGCAACTGGAATGTATTGGGTTATTAGTTTTGAAAGTACAAATACAAAAGTTCTATAAGGTTGTGTATGAGAACTAGGGATGCTCCAATACCGATACAAGCATCGGTATCGGCGGCGATACCGAGTATTTGCATGAGTACTCGTGCAAATACTCCGATACAAAAAACGAGTACCTGTGCCGCGTCTGCCATCTTCAAGGACCCGAAACCGCCGCACACAGGACCTCCATAGCGTCTTCAATTAAACAAAATGGCCACAAACTCCTCCTCCAAGTCCTCTGCTCCATTCTGACCTCTTCTCCCGCTGATTGGCCGATTGGATGATTGACAGGCTTCCTCACCAGTCAGAAGTGACTGGTGAGAAATAAATATGTAGATATTGCTAACTAAGGCTTGTATCCCCCTAGTGGGGAAAATAGATGAGCACATGTCCAGACTCAGACCAGATGTCCAAGGACCTGTAGCACACCTTACCGGACTTCCCATGTGGAAAAATGGGTGCTCGTAATGACTACGGATGGCGCCGTATCAGATAAAATGTTGTATGGATGTCACCAGCACTCCAAGTATGACAGAATACGTCAAGATTTTTAGTGAATCTTCATTTTATTTTTGAAGTCACTTAAAGTGGAAACTAGTGTTTCCACTTTAAGTGACTTTAAAAATAAAATGAAGATTCACTAAAAATCTTGACGTATTCTGTCATACTTGGAGTGCTGGTGACATCCATACAACAATTAGAAAAAAATGTGACCTGTCCCTTTAAGAAATAGTATCGGCGTGTACTTGGAAAAAAAAAAGATTGCTACTCGGTCTTAAAAAAGTGGTATCGGAGCATCCCTAATGAGAACTTTAAGTGCCTTTGTCATAAGGAGCTTAGCTTGTGTGTTTTATTTAGTTAAAGTGACATTAAAGTCAAACTTTTTTTTTGCCCCTTCCCAATCCTGCTGTAGGGACTTACCTTAAATGATGCCTCTTGATTCGATCATTCAAATAGTTGAGTCTACAAAATATCGTATTTAAAAGTTTCCTTAACCAGTTGACATCCGCGGTGTTAAACCCCCTTCCCATCCAGGCCATTTTTCAGTATTCAGCGCTGCGGTACTTTAACTGACATTTATTCCGTCATGCAGCGCTGTACTGAAATGAATTTTATACCCTTTAAAATTGCCGTCTGCAGACGGCAACCCGCAGATGCAGCAGTGCCGTCCGTCCGTTTTTCTACTACGGGCGGACGGCAAGAGGTTAAAGTGGACCTTTACCCATATCATAAAAATAACAACAAAAGGCACCTTTAGAAACGTTTAGTAAATGACAATCTACAAACACATACTTCTAGATAATTGCCGGCTTTGTCTTCTTTGTGGGGATATATTTTTTTTCTCTGGCACCTGCTTAAGTCCCATTAAGGAAGCTAGCAGGAGTGTAATGACACGCCACCTGTCTTCCTGATTAGCCGGTAAGCCAAGCGGCGTGTAATGACTTGCTGCCCGGCTTCCTGATTAGCCGGGAAGCAGTCTCCATGCTCCCTCGTCAGCAGGTGACGAGAAAGCATGGAGCTGGCTTTCTGGCCAATCAGGAAGCCGGAGGGTGGGTAATGACTCTCCGCCTGACTTCCAGTTGGCCAGCTTCCCGATCAATCAGGAAGATGGGTGGCAAGTCATTATAGGGCGCCCGGCTTCCTGATTGGCCGTGAAGCCGGCTCCATGGTGACGAGGGAGCATTCAGCTGGCTTCCTGACTAATCAGGAAGCCGGGCAGCGTGTATTGACTCAACGCCTGGCTTCCCGATACCGGAATCTCCACAAGAAAAAAAAAAATGGCTAGTACTGTTCCTCAGCAGAGAAAATATGTTCATCTTCTTAACACACTAGCCCGATCTACTTGTCCCTCATGACAATCTACTTGTCAGAATACAAAAAATAATTTTAACATTTTGTAACATTTCTTCTCATTGGTCAGCACAGGGCTGTGGTGGAAAGCAGTATGGGGTATAGATAGTACACCCATACTGGCGGAGGGGAAGGTCCGTACACCTAAAAGGTAAGTATAGCAAGCTGGGGGTGTTCAGATTTAAGCGGGTAATTCCATTTTCCCAAATGACTTGGGAAAGAGAACGTAGCCTTTAATGCACATTGTGCGTGTTAGAGAGCGCTGCTGCCCAGCTACTACTATATGACAAACACACAGTAGAATAAGGGCAACATGGAACACACACACACACACACACGTGTTTATTTGCATGCAGATGGCTGGGTTGGTTTTCATATTTTATAATTTTTATTTTTACACTTTTCTTTTATTTCCCTAACTTTATTGCTAACACACAGGGGATCACAAGCCCTCATGTGATAGTGTTTAAAGGTGACAGCTAGGGCTGCAACAACTAATCGATTAAATCAATAATGAGAATAGTTGGCAGATATTTTTTAATGCAACCAATCTATTAGTTGAAAAAAAATAAATCAGGCAACTAATCGATGAAAATAATCATAAGCTGCAGCCCTAGTGACAGCCTCTCTTTATGTAACCTGTCACCTCCAATACGGAAGATTGAGCTCAGCATTGTGCTCCATCTTCTGCACAGCTCCACATGTGACAGCTGACACAAGAGGGCTGCAAGTACAGCTCCTGTGTCACTGATGACAGAGCAGATTGGATGCTCTCCCAATCCTTAAATCATTGCCGGGACCCCGAAAACCATGGTGGGCAGGGGGGAGGACAAACCATGGGGTGGGGGGATGGGGCACTGTATGGACAAACAAAGAGGCTGCTACACAAGTGATCTGGGAGGCTTTACAGCCACCCAGATCATTTGCACAATAACGAAAGTTGGCTTCCCTGCTCTACATTTAGACATGCTTGCCCGCAGTCTGGCTAAATGTGGAAAGAAAAAACAAACAGCATCAGCACTGCATGTCCAGGGCGTCAGTCGATAGGAATTCTGCACCCCTGTATATAGATCACAAATCATGTCCATTAAATTTGTTAAGAATGTTTCATAGTTTTGGCATTAACAGCTCCCATACCGCAAAGGGAAAATATAAACTCTAGACATGCACAGAAAACAAAACAAATAAATCTAAATCCAAAGCAAAACAATGTACCAAAAAAAACACAGAACCAACTCAAGTGTTGTGTGATTAGAACAGAAAGGTAGTTCAGAATAATCATGTTCACCGTTTGAGGTACTTATTGTGTACAAAAGATATGCATAATAATGTACCGTATATACTCGAGTATAAGCCGTCCCGAATATAAGCCGAGGTACCTAATTTGACCAAAAAAAACTGGGAAAAAGTATTGACCCGAATATAAGCCGAGGGTGGGAAATGAGGCAGCTACTGGTAGATAGATACCAATAAAATTACATTAATATTTATTTAAAAGAAAAATAACCTAGCTCTGTAAGTGGAAAAGGGGGTACAGGGCTACATATCATGTACTACGGATCATTTAACCCATTCATATTAGCAGAGGATAATTGTAAATCTATTGTTCAGTGCACTCTATATGTAGTATATAGTACATGTACATATAGAGTGCCTGCAACAATACATTTACAATGATCCTCTGCTAACATGAATGGGTTAAATGATCCATAGTACAGGGCTACATACAGATCATTTAATACATTCATGTTAGTATAATTGTAAATGTATTGTCTGCACTGTATTAGCAGTATATACTCCATATAGAGTATATACTGCTAATACAGTGCAGACAATACATATATAATTGCTTAATGAATCTCTCTCTACCCCCACCCCCACCCGCCCTCACTCACTGTGTCCGTGTGCCGGTGATCGATCATCACATCACGGAGAGAGCAGGGACGAGTCAGCGGCGTGCTGGTCCAGTGGGAGGAGCTCCAGGTGGGGTCCTAATTTAGCTGGCTCAGAGGTGCCTGCCCGCTAAATTACAACCCCACCTGGAGCTCCTCTCGCCTGATCAGCGCGCCGCTGACTCATCCCTGCTCCCCTGCTGTACTGGCGCTGACTCGAGTATAAGCCGAGGGGGGCACTTTTCACCCAAAAAAATGGGCTGAAAATCTCGGCTTATACTCGAGTATATACGGTAGGTTTTTTTAATTTGACTTTCTTAGCAAACATGAACAAAAGCCTTGTAGAGAAGTCTCTGGATATGGAAAAGTGTAACATTACATAAACCTTTGTCTTTCCAATTTATTTCCCCAATTTAAAAACCATACAGAAAAAAAAAATCATCTCGTTTGTGATTTCATGTTCAAATACTCCTTCAAATAGTTTTTAGGCTATGGTAAACATTGAATATATTTGTTATAATAAAACTCATGCAGCAGTGCAATTAATCCATATTATAGAAAAAAACAAAAAACAAAACCTAAAACAGATGCTGTAGCACAACATTCAACGCAAAGAGTCATATTCTACACAGTATTTATTTAGAACACCAGATAAATATAAATATCCAAAAATGGCATTGGAGGAAAAACATTGTTTGAACACTACAAAAAATAATAATATATATATTAAAACAAAAATTGTAGCACAGGAAGTGAAACTATTTCACCTCTCCTTCTACATTTTAAAGAACTCACATATATTGTATCAATTAGAGGGTTTAAAGATCCACAAAACTTTGCAGTACCTAAGTGTTACTCAGTATGGAAGTCACCATGTTCAGAAAACTGTGAGCCCATGATGGTGGATCATGTATCCATTTCCAGTGATATGTAAGAATTGTTCTTTCTAGAATGTTCTTGCAAGTTACATCATCAAGGTCCATAATAATGATAATTATAAGGCTTTCAGCATGTTGCCACGAGATTGGCACGTTAAGATGGTGGATGATCCTCGCCTCTGACGGCCTTATATTTTGCCATGTCTTCCGGAAACACTTTGGAGAGCTCTTGGATTAGAAGGCTTTTGAATTTCTATAAAATGATGTGAAATACATAAAACTCAGCAAATATCCTTAACAGAGATAGAGAGAGAGAGAGAGATATATAGATATATATAGATATAAATACTGCTGCGGGAGGTGCATTGCAGTGCTATTCATTTCACTGGCACCCAAAACACGCCTCCCACCCACAGTGCGATTGCCCGCACTGGACCACACAGTGCCGCAATGCTGTGTGTTCCCCTGCAGTGCAATTGCAAAAAAAATGTGCATGCAGTTTTATTCTGAAGTAAACTTTATGTTGGTAACACTGCATTTGTGAATCTTATTTTAAATGAAGGATGTTACTGATTTTTTTAATCCAATTAATCGAAAAAATTATCGGCCAACTAATCGATTATGAAAATAATCATTAGCTGCGGCCCTATTTGAATGTATCCTGACTAATGGAATAAAGTTGTATCTGGACTACTTTAATTGGCATGGCGCTTCAATTCTACTGTGTTCAAAGTGAAAAGTTAGTTATAGACGTATAGTTAAGCTATTAAGTTTTCTGTTCTACTGAATGTTTAAAATGACAAACCCTCCAGAAACCACACCTACTACTGGCAAACTGCAATACATTGCTTGTACAAACATGAACCACGGTGCTGAAAGCTGGATAAATAATATAGAACTTCAAGAATGGAACATGCCGTGGGATTCACCTGCATGAATTTCCTACATCTTTCAGCTCTTCCATGTTTGCAAACTTTACCATAATATTTGTCAATATTACAAGATACAAAATCACTGATTCTTAGGCCTCATGCAATAATCGTTAGTTGCAGCCCTAAGTACAAGAATGGAGGGTTGCAACTAAATACTAAAGACATCAACAATTATTTTACATAGATGAAATGTAACATTTAAACCATAGCACGCTGGTCATGTTGCTTGGACCAGGGCTACTACTAGGGCTCCCTCCTTTCTCTCTAATGTAGAACAGGGAAAGTGTTCTGGTTTCATAAATCGACAATGTTGTGGATATTACAAACAATTCTAAAGAAGTGTCTTAGCAGGCAGTATATAAAAAGTAGAAGATTGCGGAGTATGTGATGGTGGACAGTATGTGTTAGAGGGAAATGCAAATGGTATAACAGGATGTGTAGAGGAGTGCCCAGGTTATGACAGCGGAGATAATGTGCAGGAAGGAAATGCATGGTAGTTACAGCAGCTACAGGCAAGGAGTGCAAAGGATATGAGGTCACACAGTACATGCAGGAGAGGAGTGAGGAGAATGTGACCATAGGCAGTGTGTGAAGTATAGGAATGTGTTGGGTATGACACAGGGCAGGATGTGCAGAAGAGGGGTATAGAGGGTTTGACAATGCACCCAATGTATGTACATGTGTGTTTGCGAGCACAGGATGGCAACAAAGAGAGGAAAGGGATAGGAGAGAGAGAGAGAGAGAGAGAAGTAGAAACACAGGAGGAGAATGTAACATTGCTAAGGCGAGTGTGTGGAAGGAATATAGCACTTGGGAGGCAAGCAAGTGCAGCCATGAGAGTGTAAAGTTGTCTGTGTGCAGGAAGCTCTCAGTACTTATGGTAGCAAACAAGAGATGTTATTCTGCAAAGAGAAGCTGGCAGGGGGGAGTGAAGGAGAGAAGACAGAGATTAGAGGAGTATAGCCATTGTTGGGTTTTTTCACCCTACACTATGCACAATTTAGGAAGGATAGCTCTGTGTACGTGGAGTCTTCTCATTGCTACCATGGATTCTGGGAAGTAAGGTGGTGTGCTGGGGGCAGGATATAAAGGAATGACCTATAGCAGTGGTGGCGAACCTTGGCACTCCAGCTGTGCCAAAACTACAAATCCCAACATGCATCTGCCTCTGGGTGTTATGTCTGTGGCTGTCAGAGCCCTGCAATGCCTCATGGGACTTGTAGTTCCAAAACAGTTGGAGTGCCAAGGTTCGCCACCACTGACCTATAGGGTGATTCTCTGAGGAGTGCAGGCAGAATCTTCACCTGTGAAAGTGGCACTTGGCTTAAATAAAAACACTAAAATAATATCACACACACACGTAATTCAGCAAACTTACCTTCATTGTATCAATTTTACCCTTCACTTGCTCGTTTTTAGCTAATGCTCTCTCCAAACACTCCTTGGTATATAACTGGGGGTTACGACCTTGGTCAATGTAACTAAAAAACAAAATAAAAAAAACAACATTTTAAAAACGTACAAATCATATGGCTAAATTCATGCTACAATTTCAGGGGAAGGATGACAGCTGTACAATGTGCATCAAAGCCATTTCCATGGGTCTGATGTGAGTCACTGAAAGAGCACTGACGCAGACAAGCTGCCCACCCTTTGTGCTTGCTATTCAAAAAACTTTATCACAGTAGCCAGCCTGATGAGTGAAGCCTTATTTGTATCCTTGAAATGCCTTCATTGAAAAATCAAAGCGTTAGAACACTTCTGTGACAATACAGGTGAAACTCGAATAATTAGAATATCGTGCAAAGTTAATTTATTTCACTAATGCAACTTAAAAGGTGAAACTAATATATGAGATAGACTCATTGCATGCAAAGCAAGATAGTTCAAGCCGTGATTTGTCATAATTGTGATGATTATGGCTTACAGCTCATGAAAACCCCAAGAACCCCAAATCCACAACCTCAAAAAAGTAGATTATTACATGCAATCAATAAAACAAGGATTGTACATAGAACAATATCGGACCTCTGAAAAGTACAAGCATGCATATGTACTCAGTACTTGGTTTGGGCCCCTTTTGCAGCACTTACTGCAATTACTTTTGCACGATATTCTAATTATTCGAGTTTCACCTGTACACTAAAGCTTTAATACCATCCTGTATATCATTGTGCTCGTAAAAGCAACACAAACAAAACACATGTCTAAACACTCATTTATACTCACTTACAGCATGCTCATTTCAGGTCTGTGACTAGAAAGTACTGACGTCAGGCAACAAAGATTTTCAAAAGAGGACCAGTATTAGCAGCTCCCATACTTTTCTCATGAGAGTTACCTTCAATGTAGTTCTTGGATAAAAACCAATGATCAATCTCATTAACTGCTGTGTCAATTCCAAAAAAAGATTCTCCTTGTTTTGCTCATAATGTGGCCTCAGATCTACACAGCAATGATGCCGCAGGCACACCAGCCCATTTTACTGATGTAATAGCAGCACAGAAATACACCATTTCTTGGAATTAATCGAAGAGACCTGGCTCCAGATCTTACTGTGCAGTACATTCAGCAGATTCCAGACTCTGTCTGGACACACTATAACACACCCATAATGATATAATTTGCCTAATCGGTAGGTACGTTTAAGGATTAAACAGAAGGCACATCATCAGTGCACATTCATAAATTTGACCCCCGACCTTGAGTTTTGCACGCTCAGTGCCTATTGTCACGGTAGTGGCCTGATTACTTTATATGATGTGCCTTCTGCTCGATGAACAAACATACCTGCCAGTTATGAAAATCCTCGCGGACCTGTTAAAGTGAGATTATCCTGATGGAGGCTTTAACCACTTGAAGACCAGGTGTTTAGACCCCCTTCCTGGCCAGGCCATTTTTCAGTATTTAGCACTGCGGTGCTTTGACTGACATTTATTCCGTCATGCAACGCTATACTGAAATACATTTTATACCATTTTTTGGGGACCGATAGAGCTTTCTTTTGGTGGTATTTATTCACCACTGGGGTTTTTTAGTTTTTTCTATATTTCAGAAAAAGTACTGAAAATTCTGTAAAAAAAAAAAAAAAAAGTGTTTACATTATGTTAGGAAAGAATTATTATTACCCAATTCTTTGGTAAAATATAAAAGACGGGATCACGTCGGGTAAATAGACACCAAACATGTCATGCTTAAAAATTGCGCGCACCCGCGAAATCGCAAAAAAACTACAATACCCAAAATTGATCATAGGCGACGCTTTAAAAGCTTTTACCGCTCATCAGTTTAGTGTTATCAGTGATTGATGGCCCTAAAATTATCGCTCTCACTGCGACGTTCGCAGCGATATGTAACATGTGCGGCATAATGGGCGCAATCATCGTTTCCGCAGATATGCGCACCTGGCGCAAGTTTGCATGCGTGTATGTATGGGTGGGGGCTTTTAAAAAAATTTTTTTTTTTTAATTCTTTATGTGTGACTTTAATTTTATTTTGGAAACTTTAATTTTTTTCCTATTTGTTTTTTTTTCCACTTAACTTTATTGCTAATCACACCCCTAAGAAGGCGGATTGCTTGTATGTTAACAGGCATCAGTGCCTGTTTTTAAATCGCCGGTGTTTCCCGCTCGCACGCGCCCTGCAGCACGCGCAGGTGGGCGTGGCTGAGCGAATGTCTAAAGACGCCCGCTCAGATCTAGAGACCTCTCATGTTTTTTTACCACAGCTGGCCCTGAGGTGGTTAAAGTAGATTTTCTCTTTTGCAGTCAAATTTGAAAAAAACCCACTATATGTTTAAGTGTTCTTATTCACACAGCATACCTAAAAAATACATTTCAAAGAATAGAATATTTCTCACTCTTTAGATGGGTCTGTGTAGCAGGCCTTTGCAAGCTTTTCTCTCAATTTCAAAATGACAGGAATCTCTGACTGTCCCCATAAATAGACTTGGGGGCAGACTTCCTCTGAATAATATGAAATGGGGGAAATTAATATTATATATTGCAACAGATTTATTATCTTAGTTTATGTTACATTCCTAAATGCCTTTATAAAAAAGGAGAAATATCTAAAAATTGTCAAGATCTCTATTTCTGCCTGGACCAGATCTGCAAACGCAGTGCAGTGCGTTTTAGCCGCGTTCCAGCACATTTTTATTTAACCCCTTCGTGACTGACGACGTACAGTGTACGTCGCCAGCATCGGGGCTGTTTAAACAGACTTTCTGGTGCAGTCCAGTGCATTTCCATGTGTTTATGAGGCGTCCAGACCAGAGAAAAATGAGACAAGCAGTATTTTTTTTTTTGTCTGGACCGGAACGGACTGCGCTGGTGTGATCAGAGCCCAGAAATACCAAAGGGATACATTGGGATGCTTTTTTGATCCGGGACCAAACTGTTCTGGTCTGGACATGGTGTGAACAAGCCCTTAAAGTGACATTAAACCCTCAGATTTTTTAACATAAAACAATACTGTAATGTGTGCCTTACTGTAATCCATGGTTGTTTCTCTTCTCTTTGCTGCTCTTCCTTTTAAATCTGTATCTGTTCTCATGCTCTGCAGAACTTCTGTTTTGCAGCAGACTGCCTTGTCTCAGGAATGGATACACGGTGTCTGTGTATACGTTTCTATAGGCTTGTAACCTGAACCAGCACTACAGGAACTTACACTACTACACTACTTCTACTTATTTTCAAAAGAAAACAACACAGACTGTTTTATATTGTGATATATTTATTTTTCACATATATGACACATGTTTATTTATTTATTTAATATTGTTTTCACAATAATATTTTTTTCACATATATGACACATGTTCTTTGAAGATTTTTGTTTATTTATTTAATAAGGTTCATGTATGACACGCCTTTTATGACACCTGCTGACACATTTTATAACGTACTATAAGTTTTTACACAAATATTTATTATATATACACTGTTTCACGATTGCTTGACACGGAGGTGACACCATATGATCCCTACCGTTATCTAATTTCCTGAAGGGCATTTAGCGCTGTACACTTCATTACACCATTATTCTGTAGGCTTTTAGCCTGAGTTCAGCAGCTTTTTTCCTTTTTGGTTTTAGAAATTTTAGCTCCGGGGTCATATTAATATCTATTTTAAATTTTAATCCATCTTAATTTAGTTTTACTATTTCCGTTAGCGCAAGTTAGTTTGGTTCACTACAGGAAGAGGCTCTGAGCTGAAAAGGGAAGTTCTCCCCCAGCATGAGAAGACATGAGGAATTTAAAAGGAAGAGCAGCAAAGAGAAGGGAAACAACCATGGATTACAGTAAGGCACACATTACAGTATTGTTTTATGTTAAAAAATCTGAGGGTTTAATGTCACTTTAATTGTATCGAGCTTGCTTGAGGCACAACTCAGTAAAGAGAAAAACCTATCTTTCAGGATAGAGCATGTAACATGTAAAACAGTAATTTTCTGGTTTTAGGTTAAACAATGTGAATAAAAAGATAACAAATTAAAAATTTAAAATAAAAAAACCCATTTAAAAAGACTATAAAAAGAAACCTGGCAGAAGAGAAACAGAGGCTGGCATTGCTGATCTCTCCTGCAAATGCTGGCTCCTGGCTGCCAGGTGGACCTTCTTGCTTAAAGGAGGAGAACTATGGGGTCAGGGCGGTATACTGAGACGCCGTAGCCGGAGCGGATCCCGACATCGAAGTCAAGATCCGCCCAGCTGCATGAGTGACAGCTGGCTCTGCCTATCTAGAGGCAGAGCCAGCTGTACCCACCCCCTCCCCCGTCCGATCCGCCAGTCAGTGCTGGCGGATGGGAGCGGGGAATCCAGCCCCTCCCCTGTCACGGCAGAGAGCCGTGACAGGATCGAGAAGTGAGCGAACACCGGTGTTTGCTCACTTCCCGATCTACTGAGCCGACCTGTGACAGTCTCATTGTCACAGGTCGGCTAGGACTATGAGGTGAGTGAAAAGCACTCGCCTCATAGTTCTCCTTTAAATGCTTGAAATATGTAGATTAGGACATCTGACTTTCCAGATTTCTAGTTGTTCCAGGTCAGTAATTCATACATTTTAAAGCTACGGGTTCAATAAAACAGCTATCCAAAGCACATTTATAAATGAAGGTCAGCAATGCATCCTCCATATTTCATTCACTAACAGAGAAGTAATGTGAAACTATTCATAAAAATGTCCCCTGATCAAATTCCCCCCTCCCTTCCTAGCCCCAGATGCATACATATGATGGCTGCAATCTGCAGCAATATTTAGATCCTTCTGAAATCTTCCTTTCCCCTGGCCTGCCTGTGCATTACATCCCTATAGACCTTTATGAGGCCATTTCCCAATACAGGAGTCACTCGAGAAAGCAACACTCATTATAAGCCCTAAATTGCCACAAAAAAAGCAAGTACTTCCAGCTATATTCTAGAGGGCACTGGCAGTCACTAAACCTAGGGCAATCTATCATGCAAATGTTCTAGATGAAGACAGCACCTATCCTCCCCAACACCCACCTGATTATTGGTCAGAGGAACACATCACAGGCTAATACAGGAGGCACAGAAGCTCCAGCTTCATCTCACTACTTGAGATTACATAACAAGATGTTTCAGGTTAATGGGCACTGCACAATACTGCTGAACTTACTTGAACCCGGATGTGCCTGCTATTTGGATGGAAACTACAGTTTAGGACACAAAATGTGATATAACCAGACTGGGGTTTTAATCACACACACACACGTCAGTGTGCCTTTGCTATTAGATTGGGGGATTGCTATCCCCCTATGTGATAGCAATAACTGTAAAAATAAAAAATAAGTCACATATTAAAAAAAAGTTAAATTTTTTTTTAAAGTCCCCCACCCCCAAATAAACGTAAATACGCGTTCGATGCGCCAGCACGCGAAAATGACAATTGCGCTATACAAGTTACATATCGCCGCGAACTTCAGAGTGAGAGCAATAATTCTAGGGCCATCAATCACTGATAACACTAAACGGATGATTTTAAAGCGTAGCCTATGGCCAATTTTGGGAATTGGCAGTCTTTTGTGGTTTTGCGCGCACGCAGTTTTAAGGCTTGACATGTTTGGTGTCTTTTTACCCGACGTGACCCCGTCTTTTATATTTTACCAAAAAATTGGGTAATAAATGTTTTATCATTAAATATAGGGGAAACTGTTTTTTTTTTAATTTTCGGTAATTTTTCCTTAATATAGTAAAAAAATAAAACCCGTAGTGGTGATTAAATACCACCAAAAGAAAGCTCTATCTGTCCCCAAAATGGTATAAAATTCATTTCAGTACAGCGTCGCATGACGGAATAAATGTCAGTCAAAGTACCGCAGCGCTGAATGCTGAAAAATGGCCTGGCCAGGAAGGGGGTTTAACACCGCGGACTTCAAGGTGGTTAACGTGTAACTCCACTATTGTTGGGGGGTAAAAAAAACAATCCTCTTTGGGTAATCCATGTACGAGTACATTGCAAGGAATTCAACAAACTGTGTTGCAGATTCCTACCTTTTTCTGTTCTGAAGAAACTGCTGTTCATTTCCAGACTGAACGGGAGCGATGATCTTCATTATAAACACCTCTGTGTTTTAATGAGGGAAGCTACAGTGTCTGGATCCCTTAAGAAATCAAACCTTAGAGAGTAGCTCACCAAAAAGGAATTCCTATTGCAGGGGTTGAGTAGGACTTTCTTTTATCTCCGTGCATACTTCTGATACAATCAGTCAGCCAAGCAAAGAAGTGAAAAACTCCTGCAGGTTGCCTCAGTGCATTACATTTGTAGACAGTTTTAGAAAATGACAGCAGCTACAGATTGTACATGGCAAGATTTTTCTGCAGGTTGAAGGTTTTCATTTTCGTCAATGGAGTCTTTAGCCAGCATGTGGTCATGCAGAGCTGGCATAGTAATCACATTGACAGGGCATCACTCTGGCAACTTGGATCTCAGATGGGAAGCAATGTATGGGAACATATCCTCAGCATGGGACATCGTGCTGGGGAATGTTAACATACTGACTGAGGGAGGGAAGTAGGGCTGCAACAACTAAATCGACTAAGTCAATTATAATCGATGATTGAAAAAGTTGTCAAGGTTTTCAATCATCGATTATTCGGCTTTCGATTAGTTGGACATGTTCACCACTCCACACATGTCACACGCCGCACCTCCTCCCCGCCTCACGATCGCCGCCCGCCCACATCCACGATTGGCACAGGGACGCGCGGAGAAGAAGTAAGGAGGAGCAGGCGTGGAGGAATGACAGCCACCAACAGACAGGCCCGATCTCAGAAGCAAGTTGCTGGAAGACTGCTCAGGTAAGCCTGGACTCCCCCCCCCCCCCCCCCCCCCATACAACAAATCCCAGCAATAATACATTATACAGTGGTGCAATGCAGAATACCACCAGCTATAGAGGACTACAAAACCCAGCAATAGTACATTATACAGCGCAATACCGCCAGCTATAATGTATTATTGCTGGGATTTGTTGTATACCTCTATAGCTGGTGGTATTCTGCATTGCGCTGTATAATCTACTATTGCTGGGATTTGTTGTATCCCTCTTTAGCTGGTGGTATTCTGCATTGCGCTGTATAATCTACTATTGCTGGGATTTGTAGTCCTCTATAGCCGGTGGCATTCTGCATTAATTAATGTATAATTTTACACTTTCCATTTCACTATATTGCACACACTTTTTTTTTTTTTTACTTCCACCGCTCCAAGCTTGCTCCTGTGATGGAGTGCAATCTCAATACAAAACTAGTAGTCCATCACTGAAGCCATTTTTTAAAATCCTGATTAACCGATTAATCGAACTTAATAAATCGGCTAACTTATCGATTTTGAAAATAATCGTTAGCTGCAGCTCTAGTGGGAAGGGTTACATTGATTCACTGCAAAAAATACAAACTGAGGAAAGAAGAAGTTTTGCCTGGCATTACAACACCACACTCCAAGCTGTTGGGTCGATCTGCTTATAATGATTTCCAATTTAATTTTCCCCATATACAAATTGCAAAATATTAATTCCAGAGATTTATGCAAGTGAAAACTGTTGGAAACTCACTCAAATACTTCCAAGGGAACGGTGATGTCATGAAGCTGCTGCCGACACTTGTCTATATCTGCCAATCCGGTAATCATAAAATTCCTGCAGAAAGGCAATTAAAAAAATATTAGTCACAAAAAAAAAAAAAGAAGAGTTGGCAGGTCTACTTTCTAAATACAATCTCAATGCAACATTGAAGATGATTTATATTTAACATCCCAATTGTTTACTTGACAAATTCCCTACAACAGTTATATTATATTTTTCGATTGAGAGCCATTTCACCCATACAATTCCTTTGTACGGTAAAAACACACACACAATATATCATAGATTTAATTTATTTGCGATGCACTGAAATTGAATTTTCACACCGAAATAAAATTTGTCAGATCGGAACCGAAAATAATTAATTATATTTTTCTAACCTTTTTAAAATGATTGTTTTTAATATTTTATTTATTTATTGTTTACTTCTACTTTCGGGGGCTCTGGGAGAATATCTTAACAGATACCTGATATTTATTTCCCTTTTGAAATAAAAAAAAGAGGAGATTGAGGACACAGATTCCTCACTCTTTTTCTGCAGTCACTGTTATGAATGAACAGGAAACCTCTGTACTGAGTCTTCCTGTCCATTCATAAACTGTGCATATAGTATGAGCTACTGTGTCCACAATCATGAATGAATAGGAAGTAATGTAGAGCACTTCCTGTTCATTCATAATTGGGGACACAGCAAACACACAATGTCCTCATTTATCTACAAACACTCAATGATCAGCTGATTGCTTGTGGTGTCAGCCTCCTGTGACTCGCTGTCACAGGAGGCAGACCCCACTGACAGCTGTCTCTTCCCCCGTACCGCTGGCTCAGCTTCCTGTGACAGCTATCTCCTCCCCGCACTGCTCTCCATCCTGATTTGCTTTTAACATGAGGCTGAGCAGGAGGGTGCAGGAGGAGAATTCGGCCTCCTGTGACACCACTGACAGCACCCTCCTCCCCGCCCGGCTTGGCCTCCTGAAAGTTTCTTTCCTCCACGCTGAATGCTGCTTTGTGTCAGAGGGGACACGGAGCATGAAGAACCGGCCAAAAATCACACAGTGTATGGCCAGCCTTAATCAAGCCAATCTAAATCTGCTAGTGCATCTAACACTACCCTCTCCACAGGATGACAATGCTACTGTCCAAGGGTGGATCCGTTGCTCCTCCACAGAGTGGAGCCACCCTAAGACATGAAGAGTGTTACTAGCCAGATCACCAGGTGCTAATGTGCCACCCTTAAAGTCTATTTCCACTTTTGTAGCCAAATTGGGATAACAGCTATTTTATATTTATAATGTATTCCCATTCACATATTAGAAGAGCAACTGAAGCCAAAACCTTTTTTTAGTTTTGGATAGCATGGAGAGGGATTAGAACACCTGTCAGGTCTTTATTGATGTCCCCATTACAGAGATTCCCCCCGTCTATTTGTCCTGGTGACCGTCATCACTGAAAGTAAATCCCATATGTTGTGTTGTCATCAGGAATAGATGAGAACTCTTCCAATGGAAACACTAGTTATGGGGACCCTGCTGACCACCAGGGATTCCCCTCTCTTTGGAGGGATTTCATCTCACTGCCGTTGTTGCCATCAGCCCTGCCCTACTCTATCTAAAAAAAAAAAGAAGGTTTGTATGGGCCCATATAATAATACTGAAGCATTCAAATCTGTGTAAATGACAGATCTGAACACTGTGGGGGGGTTATCAAAACTGGAGCAGACAGAATCTGGAACAGTTGCCCATGGTGACCAATCAGCTTCTCTCTTCAGTCTGCTCAGTTATCTGGAGCCACTGCTCTCTCTCTCAGAGTACTGCACCCCCTTGTGTATGAGCCTTCCATTACCAGTGCCAGGCAGTGTTTATATTCAATGCATACAAAGACACATCTGTACTTGACACATGTCCCTTTAGGTGCTCTTCATTAGTAGATTACACAGATCGCATACTCACAGCTTCTGGTTGAGGCCAGCCTGGCTGCTGGGCTGGAAATCGCTCACTATGATCCCCAGCTGTCGGATGTTCTCCACAAACTTTTCCAAGTGTTCCTCCAGGTTGTCAAACTTTTCCGCCATACTGTCTGCCGTCGTCAGTGTCACATAGATAACAGCAATGTCTCCGGTCCGCCGGTCGCTCTATGGAATAATCATATCCCTATGTGATCTCCTTAATCATCCCACACTCTGACTGCACACAGATGGCAGCTTTATTCCGCTTCCGTGTCCTCCTAGTCTTCCTGTGTACACTCCTCCCCCGGATTCTACACCGAGGAGGGGGAACAGGCGACAGCAACTGTTCTTCGATTTAGTTCTGCGCATGCGTGCTCTGCAGCCTTCCCGTAGCCCTCATTGCGCATGCGTAAACTGATCCGTTCTGTTTTATGGTTAGTGTTCGATGTGAGTGGTCTCATCAGTATTCTACTCGTGCTACCCTGATCAAGCGAATATTCAGGGATCTGAAAGATGGTTACAAACATCCACATTGGCTTTGTATGAAAGCTTTCTGCCACATTCGTCGGTGGATGGGTGCAGATTTTTGGAGCTTGTCAGATCTGGATGGAATAGTAATGTGATTGTGTGCAGTGATATTTTGCAGCACACATCTGACTTCCTGTCTAGTAGAACCATGAAGAATGTTGGCTCGTTAATGCTGCATAAAATTACAGCTGACAGAACAAAAGGCGGCACAGCGAAGCTGGGAAATGTCACCGTCGGCAGTGCGGGACTTGTATACGTAGGTGAAGGTTATAAAATCAATAGCAATAGTACGCTCCATTCTAAGCTAGAACACACACAGCCTACCTGCTCTGTGCTTTATTCTGGAATATAGATGTATGGTAGAGCAATCCAGCCATTGTGGAACTACAACTTCCATGAGGCATTGTAAGACTCAGCCTTGATTTATACCTGAGCGTTTTGTAGCTTGCGACACAAGGCTCCGAGACACTCAATAACCCAAATCCCATGATTCTTAATTGTGCTGTTCACAGATGAGCACCTAGGAGTCTGTAGCTCAATGCCTTATGCTCAGAAAGGTACATGAGCTACTTTTGAAGCTGAATGAGTGTTTTTTTTACTTCAAAGGAAATGCTAAAAAAAAATGCTGGAATACGCCTAAAAATTAGCATTTTTCAAAGGATAAACCGCCTTTTAGTACCTAGATTTCCACTGGCTAAAATAAAAGCGCTCAAGCCTGAATAGGTCTGCAAAAATGCACAAGTAAAAACACTACAAAATTGCAACATCATGGTGGGATTTTAAGTTTGCCTACTGTAGGGTATCAGTCCAGCTCAGCTACATTTATCTATAATCAGGCAGGGATCTCAAGTCTCCCTGATGTTCAGGGAGTCTCCCTCTATTGGATAGCGGCTCCCTGACGTCCGCGAGAGAGGCATTTTCTCCCTGAAAGGTTTACTCTGAGTAAACCTTTCCGGTAAGATAATATCAGTGGGTTTGGTTTCAGAGTGAGGCTTGCCTCCTGGAGGAAGGTCATGTGATCTCTAGAGTACCCTCAGAACAAGGCTTAGCTCTCAGGAGGAAGAAGCTACTTGCTGCACAGAGAGGGCGGACATAGACTACTATTGAGAGCAGTTACCGGCACTGCTGCAGGATAACGATCGCAGGGAAAGGTCTAATCTGCTTGATTGAGCAGATTAAACCTTTCCGGTAAAAAGTGTTTCTCTCCCGGCCGGGATGTGTACTCACCGGCCAAAGCAGCTCCATCGCCCACCAGAGGCCCTGCAGAGCCCACCTGACACCCTGCACAGCCCACCTGACACCCTGCACAGTCATCCTGAGACCCTGCACAGCCCACCTGAGATCCTGCAGAGCCTACTTGAGACCCCACACATACCTGAGACCCCAAACAGCCCACCTGAGACCCCACACATACCATAGACCCCACACAGCCCACCTGACACCTTGCAGAGTCCACCTGAGACCCTGCATAGCCCACCTGAGATTCCACACAGCCCACCTGAGAGTGACCTTGCAGAGCCCAGTATAGACTCTCTATGCTGAGCTCTGCAGGGTCTCAGGTGGGCTGGTCACACCCCTGCAGACCTTACCTTTCAGTCCTGATCCGCTGTCAGCCTCCTCCACTGCCAGCGGCGTCCTCCTCTTAAATGGTCGCTGCTAGGCCCGGGTCCTGCCTCCACAGCCACCGATGTTCTCGACGGGTCAAAGCCTTCAACAAACACCAGGCCCAGCCTCCTCCTCCAGCGCCGGACCCTGCCTCCTCCACCACCGCTGCTGGGCTCTGGCCTCGTCCATCTTGGCTGCTGGCTTTCACTGACTAAGTAGCGGCTGTGAGGAGGAACGCGCTGCTTCACACATCACTGACAGTTTGTCAGTTATTTGGACAGCGGCGCATTCCCCCTCACAGCCGCCAGTGACAGCCTCAGCCTGCGATGCCATAGCGACCCAGGCGGCCTGCACAGCATCAGGGGGACCCCTTTGTTCCTGGTGCTGGTTAGGCCCCGCCTGGGTCGCTATCGCTATAGTCCTGCCACTGTGAGCGTACAATGTTTCTACGATCAACTTTAGATCTACCAAAACTAATATGAATGCCTACCCAATCTATTCCATCAATTTATATCCAAGTAGGCAAACTATTGCAGCATGCCTAGCCCATTCACACCTTTCCAGAAGCACCTCAACGTTTGATACTCAGATTTCCATGTTATATTGTGCCCGTTCCCATCTGAGTGATGTGCCCTCATACAATGCTCAGGAAAAGCGCAGGAGCTTCTTTTGGGCAAGATTGCTTGGTTTTGGCCCCAATAGACCTCAGCAGGAGCACCTGAAAAATATGCACTTGTCATAGGATTTAGCACCCAACAACCGCCTCTTCCTCCCAGTAACTAGCTTTCCTCTGGCTAAAACAAAAACGCTCACGCCTGAAAAGGTTTCAAAAAGGCGTGCGCACGCGCACAAAAAAAGTGACCAAAGATGCTAACGCCTTAGTGTGAATGTAGCCTCGGGGCTGGACCTTCAACCTGTGGTGCAGAAAGTTCACAGCTCAGACTATAGCTGCCCGTCATCCTTACACTGATAATACAATAAAATATACCGGCCATCTTGTCAACCATCTTGTCCTTCTCTTATGACTTTCTCTTTCTAAAGAAACAAAACTGTAAATGCATACCAGCCTCAAGCTTAAACTGGACTTTTTTGAAGGTAATTTTGTAGATAAGGTTTAGGTGCATGAGCAGTGCGAACTATCATAATTACAAAGCATATAAAATGGTGTGCTAGTTAATAAACATTAGGAATTGCTAATGCTGAGACTAAGTGTGTGTGTCAGTTTGCATTCCCTGCATGATCATGTTAAACAAAGCAAAACGAAAGGCAAATGTACTCATCAATTCATAACCAGCTTTAAAGAAAGGTGAACATAGAGGCTCTCATAGATTAGAGTTAGGACCACACTACACAGAGGGGCCTTGACAGGGCAGGGCGGCTTTCACATATTCTGCAGAAGACGTGCTACTAGGACCTCTGTTTTTAACCTTAGTAGTTAGACAGTGTTTTTTTGCAGGCTGGCTGGTGAGTGTATTGGGAAACGTTTTGCTATTATACTGTTTAAAGCCGTTCCATGTGCACCTTGCTTTAACCACTTAAAGACCAGGGTGTTAAACCCCCTTCAAGTCCAGGCCATTTTTCAGGGGGAATCCAGTCCCTCCCCTGTCACAGCAGAGAGCCGTGACAGGATCGAGAGGTGAGCGAACGCCGGTATGTGTTCGATCACTTCCCGATCTACTGAGCCGACCTGTGCCAGTTTAATTGTCACAGATCGGCTAGAACTATGAGGATGAGTGAAAATCACTCACCTCATAGTTCTCCTTTAACCACTTGCTGTCCGGAGCAATTTCCTACTATTACTTGCAGTACTTACTAATTTCTTGCACGCACATGATAAAATCTGAATTTTTGGCTAGAAAGCAGATTGAAACCCCCAAACAATTATATATTTTCTGAAAGCAGAGGCCATGTAGAATAAAAAATGCTAGTTGCAATTTTTTATGTCACGCGGTATTTGCGCAAATGTTTATCAAACCAGTTTTTTATGCTAAAATACACTAAAATGAAATTTAGACATCAGAAACAGAATATAATACCCAATTTTTTGGTAAAATATAAAAGACGGGGTCACATCAGGTATATAGATACCAAACATGTCAAAGCTTAAATTGCATTTGCCCGTGAAGCCGCAAAAAAATGTCAATACTCCAAATTTCCCATAGGGGACACTTTAAAAGCTTTTACCGCACATTTTCTTTTTTGAATGTAGGCGCACTGACACATGTTTGCATATGAATGTGCGTGCACATGGGAGACAGGGGACTTTAAAAAATGTTTTTTGCATTTTGTAAAAATTTTTTATGTTACTTAAAAAAAATTTTTTTACACTAACTTTATTGCTATCCCATAGGGGGCTAACACGCCCCCTATGTAGTAGCAGATAGGGTGTGACAGGTCCTCTTCACACCCCTAATGTCACCTAGGGACCGCAAAGAATCTGAGGAAGCAGAGATCTGCTTCCCCAGCTTCATCTACTGGCTCTGAGAGCCAGGGAATGTAAACAGTGACACCGGAAGTGATGTAATGCACATCACTTCTGGGTCCAGTGATCGGAGGAGAAGATCAGCAGCTGGAAGCCTGCTGATCTCTTTTGCAGGGAGACCCGTTGTGCCGGTCTTGGGCCCGCATGCAGCACAGCGAAGCCTAGGGAAGCTAGTGGTGGAGGGGGGTGGGGCAGCACATTCCGCCGATCGGTCCTAACGATCTGGCGACTGTATAGATGCCGGATCACTTGTATCTTAACAGCCATCGCCGGCTGTTTAAAATTACACCAGTACTGCTGCAGCAGCTTGGTATAACCACTTCTGTGGCCCGCCGTATATTTACGGCTACCTGCAGCAAGTGGTTAAAATTGTAGGCGCCTGCAAAATCGCAAAAGACTAACACACCCAAAATTGGCCATAGGTGACGCTTTAAAGAATATGACTGCTTAATTTACTGTTATCAGTGATTGATGGCCCTAAAATTATTGCTCGCGGTGATATGTAACATGTGCGGGACATCTGTGTTTT